GAGCTGAAGCCAATAATTGTTAGAACATCTCCTGGCAGCCTGTTGGACTTTGCTACGAGCAACTCAAAAGAGCCTGCAAGTTATACTCACTAGGACAGGCTTTGTATGTTGCTAGAGCTCTCCTCTTTTCCTTGATGGCTAGCATCAGCTCCTCAGAATGGGCTTCAAACCAGTCTGCAGTCTTATTGGTCTTCTTGATGAATGTGGACAAAGTGGTGTTATAAACAGCATTCTTGAAATGTTCCCATCGTTCAGGTGCATTTGCATCAGCCGGGCCTGGAAGAGTTTCCTCAAGTGCTTGGGTAAATTCCTCCACTTTTCTTTGATTGTGAGTCTTGCTGATGTCAATATGTGGTCTTCCTTCATATTTTTGTGTAATACAATTTCTTTATTCACAGTTTTACTCTACTACACACCAGGGAGTGATCAGTATCACAATGAGCAGCCTGATAACTGTGTGTGATCATAATACTAGGAAGGCCAAAGCGTCTAGTGAGGATCAAACTGAGCTGATGCCAATGCTTTGATCTTGGATGTCTCCAGGAAACTCTGTGTTGAAGATTCCTATTAAAGAATGTGTTGCTGACATAAAGACCATAGTAACAGCAAAACTCCAGCAAGCATTGGCCATTTTTGTTCATCTTCCCAATGTCAAAACAGCCTGGACAATTGGGTCAAGAATTGTGATCAGCACCAACTCTGGTGTTAAAGTCTCTGAGAATGATCAGCTGCTCTCTCTTGGGGATTTTTTGATAGTAGCTGCCAGATCATCATAGACTGTGGTGAGGCAGCTCCTTACTGACTGCATCATCATGTGTGAGGCATCCGACAGCTGTCTGGATATGGACACAAAGACTTTGACTGCAGTGGAGACCCCTCAGCCGTCCTGGCCTTTGACCACCTGAGCCAGCTTGAGATTGCAGAGCTAACCCAACCTGATTTCCTTGAATTTGAGGCCTCCATGTCTGCAGCAACCACAATACCTCCAGGGTTATGCCACAGCACTGAGACAAGCCACCCATTCCCAGGGTCTCCACAGTCCCAAGAACCAGCACATTGATGCCAGAAACACAAGCTGCAGGAACTCCAGGAAAGGCAACAAAGTACAATGTGGCAAGGCAGATATCTGTCTTTTTAAGGCTTCATATTAGAAAAGAAGAAAGAATACCTGGAGGCAAGAAGCTTGATCATGCAATGCAAGAAGCTGCAATTCAGCTGTTTCTTTCTGTGTGCCCACCTTCCTTTTGTGCTGCATCCTCTGGCTGCCCTCCTAGCTCACAGGCCAGCCCTGAACATGACACATGGCAACTTAAAGATTGACAAGTTTTATTTGTAGCCCACTCCTACAGTCCACAAAATGTTTTTGAAAATGAAACTTGTTAGTCTTCAAGGTACTCTTAGTTTTGCTGTACGGCAAGGACATTAAACCAGTGAGATTGTGATTTGGCTTTCCGTTCTTCAGATTCAGTTAATTTGTTTTAAATAATTTTAAAGAGGTTTTAAAAAGACACAATTTAGTGTACTCTATCCTGAAATTTGGTGATATAGGACAGATTATATATTTTAAGTAAATATGTAAAAAAACCCAAAAAACCAGTACATCCTTTTCCAGCCTGTCCCCACCAGGTACACTGAATAAAAACCTTAATAGTTTGTACATGCTCTTTGAATATACTTATCTCCAAATAGTGAGAATTTCCTCCAGCTCAGCCAGATCTGGTTTCTTTCTGAAGCAAAGTGCTGGAAATTAATTATTTTTTGAAATACTTAAGTTTATTTGCAAATATATAGGCCAAGGAGATTCATAGAAATTGAATTGACTTATGATGGCGCTTTTCAGGATTTCCTAGGTACTGAATACTCAGAAGTGGTTTAACCAGTCCCTTCTTCTTGGGATGAGTAGAAAAAAGCCCTGCCCCATACTCTGAAAGAAGAGACCCTTCCCAGAGCTTATTCTTTTGGTACCTCTTAGAAATTGAAGTTTTCTAAAACACTTCCACTGTGTTTTCCACCACATTCACTGCCCGCCCAGCCTGGAGTGATGAGGCTTGACAAAGGAGATGGGTTAAACATGGCCCACAATTTATTGAACATTAACACATTAATACAAAATTCCCCTTTCAAAAGGGGGCCTAACACAGGGCAGAGTCATGCCGTGTGCCTGAGGCTGGCTTTGCCCCAGACACAGGCCTTAACTGTTGAGTTCCAGTAAAATCTGGAAGTTTCCCCCACAAGGACTCAGCCCGAATGATCCTCAGAACTTGAGACGATCTGCCCCCACTTTCAGACTCATGACTTCTGCCACTACCTGCCAGTGTGACCACAATATCAACCTCACCTCACCCTTACCAATAATGAAAGGTTGTGAATGGGATGGGCAAAACCACATCTGCTCTAAGTGCCAATCAAGGGCAAGGCAAAAATTCCCACTTGGCCCCGAAGTGACCATCAAACCTCACTCTTGACAAAGGGTGGATGCGCCAATGACTTCTGGTGAAAGGTAAGATGGTGGGGCAAGCAGCCTCTTAAAGGCTCCCCATAGCCCCTGCCCCATCATGCCATTCTGCGTGCTCTCCTGCACATGCCTCGCCCGAGTGGGCAGGCAAAAAGCTTCTGAAAGCCACAAAAGCGGCTGTGAAAAGAGCGTTCATGTCTTGGTTTCCTAGGTGTTTGCAGAAAAGTCTGTCTCACAAATGTGAAAAATCTCATCGATACTAGCAGAAATAATCTCATTAGAAATCACTATCTTGCAGGTGAGCAGCAGCTGCTTGTTTTCATACACAATTATGAGAAGCAAAGAATTACATTCCCTACAGTCTCTTCCTGACAGAAGAATGCTTAGGAATGTTATAAACCATGCCTTCAGTTACATACAAAGATCTAAATGAAAAGAGGTTTATATATTGTATTTATACATAAAATTGGGTAGTTAGTTTGTCCAGAAAGCTCTTCAAAACAGCATGAACAAATATTGCATGGAGAAACAAATGAATACCAATTGACCATGCTAGTTGAGGGAGCTCAGTGGACTGTAGTCCAAAGAAGCTAGCTGGAGGATTTTGGTAGCTGCTATCTTGTAACTGAAATTAGAAACATGAAATTTTGCACAGATACTGTACTACTGTTGTCTCAATAACAAGATACATAGTATCTCAACTGACTATGCTGGTTGGAGGAGTCTGGTGGGTTGTAGTCCAAATAAATTATGGACCAGTTCCTGTTGCTTAGCGTATTAACTCACACTAGAATCAATGGAATTTATGAAGGAGTTGACTTAGCAAATCTCCATTGATTCAATTGGCCTGCTGTAGTGTGATTTACTACACTCAGCAGCAGGGGCTGAACTCAATGATTCATAGGCTCCCTTCCAACTCTGCAGTTCTAAGGTTATTATTATTATTACTGTTGTTGTTGTCGCTGTCACCAGCTTGGAACTGTAGAGTTGGAAGGGACCCTCTGGATCATCAGAATCCAGCCCCTGTCAAAGAGGCACAGTGGGGAATTGAACTCTTAACTTTAACTCTGCAACCAGATACCTAAACCAGACTACCATGAACTGCTATCAAATGCTGAGGTTATGTCTATGTGTGCTTTAATCAGTTGCTGCTTTTGTTCTGTTTCTGTAATGCATGTTTACATCCTTTCTCTGGAGTGCATGTAGGGGAAGTTTGAAGCCTCCACCTTTCAATCTCCCTGAAGCAACAGATTGTTTGCTCTAGAGTAACATTTCCTATCTGTCCCTTCTCACCAAGCATTCCTAATCATGTCACATTTCTTTTTGAGGAAAATCAGCGGATTAGCAACCGTAGCGGGTAAGGGGAGGGTCAAACAGTAATTTACAAACTCTCATTCCGTTATCCCGACGTGCGGCAGACGCTGGAAAGTCCAGGGGGTGGAGGAAGTTGATTATTTTCATTTGGAAGCTCCTTCAATCTTTGGATAGATTTTCTATTCTTGAACTCTGCCGCTTCTCCCGTATTAGAGAGCGGGGACGCGGGCGACGACTTGCGAACAAGGGAGAAGGACGGCTGGGCTATCCTCCTATCGTGCTCTCCATGTCTGGTCCGGCTGGGCTATCCTCCTATCGTGCTCTCCGTGTCTGGTCATGGGCAGGGCAGGGCAGACAGTGGTACAAACAACTATCCGGGCAGGGCAGGGCAGGGCAGGGCAGGCAGTGGTACAAACAACTATCTCTCAGCTTCTCCCTTGCTCACCTCTGCTGCCCCGCTGCATGGTGCAAAGGTTAAGGATCGGGCCCAGCAAATTCAATCCATCCATCAGCAGACCATCGAAATCGAGCGAGTCAGCAGACAAGTTGGTTACTTTCCCGTCACCACACCCCATTTGGTTATTGGCTTCCTGTAAATAACAGTACCAAGGGCTTCCCAAAGGAGAGATGGTGCAGGACTAGTTAGAAAAAGCGACCATCAAGAGAAAGAAGAGCCCTGCGATCAGAGGCAGGTAGTCTCCCTTTTCCAGACCCACCACAGCAGGATTTGACCCTGACTCGCTAGGCTAAACGACATCCTGCGCCACCCAAAGAGAGAGAGAGAACTCAGGTGAGCTCAGGTGATCTTTCCACCCCCGATTGAAGGCGTTTCAAGTGAAGAAGCAAACCTGGCTGGCCACGATTTCTCTCCAAGGAGCACCAGGGGCCTGATCCACCCAGTTGCGCCACCCGGGAAGGATGAGCAAGGGAGAAGAGATTGAAGCAGCCTCGCCTTCAATGGCTTCCTCACCTCCCCAGCTCGGACACACTCTTCCTCTGAAATAAAAGTGGCCGCGTCAAACACACACCTTTCCCGGTATCTACATATTAAAAAGTGAGTTTAAGTTCTCCGTAGTTCTGACCGCGCGTCTGACGGGAGCCGAGCACAGACGTTCCTTCCAGCAGCGCCTCTTTCCCCCTCCCTCCTTCTCCCTCTCCCACTCCCACCTCCACCCCCGCGCTTGCTCGCCTTCCTCATGAATATTCACGCCTCTCCTCCCAGTGACGTTGCAGCAGTCCCGCGGTGAAAGCTAGGGAGCTGCTCGGGTCCTGGCAGTAAAGCCTGTGAATGACTGAGCACTGGCGGCACTAATAATAAGAATAGCAGCAGCAGCAGCAGGAGCAGGCGCCACAGCTACCGCGGCTCCTCTCCCGCGTCTCCTTTCCTCCCCCTGCTGTTGCCCTAGCCCAGGGAAGCCAGCGAGCAAGCGAAGTGAGGGAGAGAGCAGCTGGCGGGAGGCGCGGAGACCACGTCTAGTTTCGGGCAGAGACGACTGGGCTGGCGGCGGCGGGGCTCGAGCGCCGAAAATAAAGCACGTTCTTGTGCTGACCGGGCGCGGAGAGGATGAGGCAATGCCGGGAGTGGGCGCTCCTCTGGTTGGGGGTCGGCAGCCTGCTCGCCGCCAAAGGTAGGCGAAAGTGCCCTTCCCGCGTTCCGCGCCCCTTCCCCACAGGCGCGCGCGCGGGCTTTCATCTTCCCTTAGGAGCCGCGCAGGTGTGAGGGGCGCTGCCTCGGGTCGCTTGGCGCGGCGTGAGGCTGGAGCAACTCCGAAGGCGACGGAGGGAGGGAGGGTGGGATTTGTTGTGTCTGTCCGTCCGCCCGCCTCGGGCATGTGGCGTTGGAACGGCTCGTCTGCCGCGACAGGCGTGTCGGGGGTGGGGGGTGGAGTGGGGAGACGCGCTCGTCAGGGATGGCTTTCGTGTTTTTGAGGGAATCCTCTGAGGCCCCCTAAAACTGGGAAGCTGCAGGTTCCTCAGAGATACCTTTCCAAACTGCGGCGGATGGGGAGGGGAAGCTCCTTCCTACAGCCCCGCGCGTGGATCGGCGCGCGAGTGGAGGGGGGAGTAAACTGTGTGTATGGAGATGGGGGGGAGGGATTCCCTTGCGTGTGATGATTCCGCGTTGGAGAAAACGGTGCCCGTGAAAGTTAGAGGAGTCGTGAGAACGGGAGAGGGAAGCGGCTGAGTTTTTCAGAGGGGAATTAGACATGTTGCGACTGAGCGCCTGGGATGAGGCAACGCCTCGAACGCGGCTCTCCTCTGAGGCTGATGCTCCGACCCCTGGCTTTTGGTGGCTTTAAACAGATTACTTGTCTGAGCTAAGAGCAGACGGTGTCTGCACATTCAAGCCCCGGGCGGACCGAGGGAAGCGATTAGGATGCCACCCTGGGGTGGCGGAGTGTTTGCTGGCCTTTTTCAGATTAATCTATCAAGGGATCTGTGATGCTAGGGTAGGGTGACAGGACCTCTGGCTGTAGGACACGTCGGAGTGGAATTATCCGTAGCTATAGAGAGGACTGTGCACACTTGTGTGTAAATATATCTAACTTGTTGCTTTAGTTCTTCCATTATTTGAGTTCAAAACGCAGTTAATTGCTTGCTGCCTACCTAACGATGATATTTAGTCTCTTTGATTGTAGCTGGGATAGTTCACGACTAGGAAATACTGGTTCAAGAAAAAAGAAAAAAAAACACCTTACAGCATTTCCTCCAAGTCTTCACATCAGGTTGCTCCAGAAGAAAATAGTTCTTGTCAGACACAATAAACTAGATGTGGAAGGATTAATAATCTCTGTAGCATTAAACTCTTGATAATACCAAGGGAATGTTCGGTACTGTTTTTCTGATGCAATGTGCTATTCATAGATTTATTTTGATTTTATGCATTAGTAATTGCTGCTTTTAACACAACGGAATTTACCGAAGAGCAATTGCAGTTCATCTTGACATCTGTGGCTTTCCTTGGCTCTTAAGAATTAATTGATTTCTCTTCCTTTGGCATTCTTGTATTTCTACTGTGAGTCTTATTCAAGGACACCAACTGTTCTCTAGCAGAGCATTTTGCTGCTTCAGAATTCATCTCTTCTCATGTTAAAATACTTCTGTCTTGTATTTATATAACTGACACTTTTACGTATGTAAGATACATTCATGGAAATGTGGACGTCTATGCCTCTGGGACCTGAAAATACAGATGATCTGAGCACTGGGCTGTGAAGTCATCTGTCCTATTCACCAGATGTCAAACTTTCTGTGATTGACATTGGATTTTATAGCAGTATTGATAACAGATGTGTGTATGGAAGTATAGTGCTACTTTTGGGCCAGTTGTTCTTGTGTTATCTCCCTAAAAATACCCTAATTGCACCTCCTTCTGGCAGGTGCATGAGTTTTGTTTGTAGACTTTTGGGAAACATGATGGGATAAAAGCTGGTATATCTCAATCCTTTGAAGAGTTCTAAATTCTCTTTAACCACTGGAGGGCTGCAAAGTGCATTTTTAGACTTCAGCAATTTTATATAATGTGTAATGTTTGATAAGAAAATACTTTATAAACATTACAAAAAGATGAGGGCTACATATCAACAAGATAGCAATTGGCTTGCTTTCAGTGTTTTCATTTGTGATGACAAATATTTACAGGTTCACAAGCTCTACAACTGTGAACAGTTTTCTCCACTATCAGTTTTGTTCTTGTTCCTATAGATAACTAAAGCATGTATGAGAATTTTAAATTTTTGTTATGTTTCACCAATGGATGCTTTCACGTAGAAAGGACTGCTGCCCAAACCTAAAACAAGTGCATGTTAGAGCATGATCTCCCTTGTACACCCCTCTGTAGTAGTCAGGCATCCACACTGGAACATTTATGAAAAGCCTACGTTTTCACCTCAAGCCACAAACTTTTTAGAAATATTTCTGCTGCTTTTCATGATAATAAATTACTGTAATAGATTATTATTAATATTTTTTATGTTAAGCACTTTAGGGTTTTATTCAAATGAGTAATGATGTAGAAATATCTACTCATGCTTCCTTGTGTATGTGGAGGCTAGCTCACACATCTGTGCTTAGAATTGCAATTTTAGGGCCATCAACATCATCACATACTATTTCTATGTGAAATGCAGTTGCCAGATAGTTTGAAGGAAAATGTCTTGGATTGAGGTCTCTGAACACAGTTGATACACAAACATAGTGTATCTTGCAAAAGAAAGCAGGCTCCCTTCATTTTGCTGACAGAAAGTAGAGATCAGTGTCAGAGAGAAGATTGAGAGTGCCAAACAGTTCCTCTACTACCTCTACTGGCTACTAAGCAAAATTCTATTTAATTCATTCTATGCATGGGCAACCATTCCATCATAAACATAGCAGTCACAGAGTTGCAAGGAAGACCGTATATAATTGGCTGTTTTGCTTAGATAGCAGGTTTTAGCTGTATGTTCTGACACATTACTTAGAAGGACTTTTACAGCGCTTCTATTGTCCATAGTTTGGCTGTTTTGCTTAGATAGCAGGTTTTATCTGTATGTTCTGACACATTACAGTACTTAGAAGGACTTTTATAGCGCTGCTGTTGTCCATAGCACTTCATGGAGGAAATAGAAACAAAATAACAGAATGCTGCCTGAAAGAAGTTACAGTCTATATGGCAATAAACTAGAAGATGTCCATGGGTAACCTCCTTCCATTTTGTGCCCCTGAGAGATTTGTATACAATGTGGTTAGAATAACTGAAATGTTTTCTTGAAGATTGTTAGTCTAGAGTTATTATGATTAATATAACTGGATATCAAACTGGATGGTGATTCTGGAATTTGGCATTGAAGTAAGAACAGCAGGTTTCGGTAATCAAAATATCTGACACAACATGGCTTGGACCTCTTGAAGCATAAAATACATCAAATACTCCTTTGATTTAGGTTAGTGTATGAATTGTGTACAACTAGCACAAACACCTAATGCTGATGTTTTCTTAGTTTGGTTATAAACCGGTGAATATATGAAGAAAGCAAAGCTTCATCAGCTTAACAGATGTTGCCTGGTTTGTGAACAAATGTGTTTTTAACCACAGTCAAGTTAACGACTGGCATTCTCTAGTTATTTTAATACAAAAAAATTCTCATGGCAACTGTTTTCCTATTAGATATATGTGACCTTCTGCTATGAGTCCTGTTCCTTTCTTTGTAAGCTGTATATATAAAAACAACTCCTTGCGGGAATTGCTGAGCACTAGAGAACATCTGATATGAAGTGTCAGTCCCTAAGGCAGTTTTTAATATTTTGTATCAGATATTGAAGATATTTGGCAAAACCCTTATTTTAATTCTCTTAAACTGTATCATCTCTCTTGTCCTCTTTCTCAAAGTACGGAATGCAAGGTCTTCGAAATGGTAACCTCAATTTTGCCTTGTTTGCTTCAAAGAGATCCTCTCCTTTAAGAGGATTATATTAAGAAAATAGATGAATTTAGCTTAACCCTGCAGAGGGCTGTTTCTCTGAAACAGTTAATGACAAAATGCACTTCGTGTTTTAATAAGATCTCTGTTAGGAAAATGGATATGTTTTAGCAGCAAACTGATTGGAAATGCAACTTGTTTCTTTATATGCTTAAATAATTGGCTACACTGTGAAAAATTAATACAACCTAAGGTTATGCAATTTTGGAGAAAGTATTACCTTTTCAGTAATGAGATTTGGCTTAGGTGGAAATCAGTAATCCAGAATTTCACCTCCCCAGCTAGATTTTGATCATTCTTTCTAATGAGATGTTTATAATATTTTCATGCAAATTTATTCTTCTAGTACCATAGGCCCAACTGTTTGATCAATCTGCTATAGAATGGACACTGAAGTCTTCAACACTAATCTCTTTTTGCACTAATGAAACTATTTCCTGGTGTAAGGAAGAGGTGCCTAAAGCTGGTTTTGAACTTGCTTCAACAAGCAATTTTGAGAGCAGTTGTTGGAACTATTCCTTGAAAGCAGATATCGATAATGTAAAGGCACATGTGGCCTTCTAAACTAAAACAGCAGGCCTTCAAATCAGTGGAAGACCCTTCTATGTCAAATCTTAACAACATCACTATATAGATCAAACTGTAAAGTTAGAGTAAAATAATCAATTCATGTTGGCAGTGCAATTTCCAAGGGTCTAATTGAATTCAAGATTGCCAGTAATGGGAACAAGTGTCTGGCAGCAGCTGGAGTATTTGTATTTAATCTGTCTAGTGTTCATCTACATACAAGATTTGTAGTTCTATAATAGCCTTCCATAGCCTGGCACACTCTAGTCTACACTATAGATCACATCAGGCTAATATAGCCAATGATAAAAGATCACTGCAGCTAGTCCAAACTATCTGGAAGATAGAAGTTTGGGAAAAGTTGATTTCTAAATCTTAAATCAGTGGTTGAGTGTCCATGGTTAATGGCTTAGAAGGCAACGCTGTTGCCTTTCAGCCAGTGGAAAGCTGAGTGAAAAATTTGTTGACTTTAGCTCCACTCAAGCATTTTTAAATTCTGTGTTTTCCACATGTGATAGGGGAGCATGGTGGTCTTGCTTCTCCATCATGGCTGTCAGTGGAACCCAGAACAATAATTTGTTTGTGTATTTTTGGCACATATT